TGAGAGTCACCCCACCATGCTTCTGTGATGGCAACTAAGTCATATCTCTCCCGCTGCACAATGGCTTCCAGCTCCTCCTGCTTGCCACCCATGCTGCGTGCATTGGTGTAGATGCACTTGAGCTGGGCTATTGATTTTGCCCGCAGCAGTGGCATGCTACCCCTAGGCTCATCTCTAGTGAGCCTGGTTTTATCCCCTTCCCCCTTCGAACCTACTATTATGTTGGTAATAAACCAACATAAGTCAGGTTTACAGCAAATATTCTTTCTCCAACCTGGGCATTTCAGGAAGGAGGGTGTAAGAAAGCAGTCCTGTATCAGGTACAGACATCAAAGATTTCTTTTGAGTGCAGTGTTCATATGTTCATATTTTTCCCTTTGTAGGACATTGTTCTGTGTTTATGTCTTGAATTCCGGTAATACTTATTAAAAAACCCTGGGGCTCACTGGTGGAAGCCTAAACCCACATTTCACTTGACTCATAATGAAATAAGAATTGTCTATATCTAGTTCATGGAAGTATTGTTAGATATCTCTAGTTGAAAACAGGCCACAAATAGGATGATGAGAAATAAGCCCAACACTAAAATACCAAGCAGGGCAGTGAGGAAAGGAGAGCTTTGCCAGAGCTTGGGGATAGCTTGCCACTTTCTGGGCCATGCCAGACCTTGCCTCTCTCCAGGCTTTTCAGTCATTTCTGTGTATTTGTGTGTGTGCAAGAGTAAATGTTAATCACATACATTTAGAAACCCCTAGTAAAACAGACTGCATTTGAATAAGATGAGAATTACAAAAATGCTCATCTGCTTGTACTGTCTGAATAGCACTTTATGCAAGCCACATTGGGAAAACCTTTCAGTTAGTGTTTTTATTGGTGATTATAAAAACAATAAACATAACATTATACCACCACTACTGTAGGTTATCAGTGTGCTAACTACTCGCTTTTTGCGTGACATTTGATTTGGCTTTCAATCTCTGCTCTCCTCTGCTCTTCCCATGAGACAGCACTCCCTGCACAAAGTCCCTGCACAGACTGCCTCAGTGTAGAAAGAAGTCGTATCAACCCCTAAGTAATTAACAGTGCTCACTAACAACATTAAGCATTTAGATTGTATTTTATAACATCGAAACACTGTATAGCCAGAAGCTAATTATTCCTTCTAAACTCTGTAAGGAAAGTGAACAGCATCCAAATTTATATCTGGGAAACCCACAGCCTGGGTCTTGCCCAGGGCTTCTTCAGTGGAGATCATTGTTGAGTCAAGATGAAAAATTTCCCCTTGACTCCTAAGAGGAGAAAATAGGACTTATAGTTTGATAGTTGTCTTACATGTCAAAATCCACTTGATAGGCTTCATAATAAGAGAGGTATACTCTTACTGCTGTAGAAACTATAGCAACAAAATGCAAATTAAAATATAAAATGGTGTCGCTTCTATTCTTTGTAATAATAAAGTAATGTAAAATAATATCCCTGTTGACCACTTTAATAAAGGATTAATTCTGAAGAATTCCAGTTAGTTTATAAGTGGACACAAATTAAAGTGTGACAAATTATAAAGTGTGACACAAATTTGAAAGACATTCTGTTGCTGGCCTTTTTAAATGCTGCCACTTATATGTCAGAATGAATGATAGATTTAAGACTTCATATCAGCAAAATAAGTTAGGACACCCAGTGAAAAATGTCATACCTTGCTAGGATAATTACAACAAGCTTTTATCTCTACTTGTTATTGGCAACAGTTCAGTATCTCTGCACGTCATTTAGCTTTAAAGGGCAGATCAGTTAGCCGAGTTAGCAACAGTATGTTAATACAATAAATATTCACACTTAAGGGGAAGTGGCTCAAAGTTGACAGTGTGAAAAGCATGATAGAAAACAGGTGTTAAAACATCCCATCTAAACCAATGTTTCTGGGAGATGTCCTGGAAGAATAATTCTAGTGGGTATTTTCTCTTTTTTTTTTTTTTCCCCTGAACTTATTTTCCTAAGTCCAATGTCTTTTAAGGTGTGAATGAATACAGCTGCTTCTTACAAAAAAAAAAGCAGCCCATAGATTTGGCCAGTATGCAAATTCATTGTAGCTGTTTTCATTAGACAGCACTGGGCTGAAAGCCTGAAACCAGGGTAATGCTTTGCATTGTGGGACTTTGGCACAGTAAACCATGATGGGCAAAGTAAAATTGCTGCCCTAAACCATAGCTTTAATGCTTTGTGTAGACAGCATGTGTATGGTGGACTGCTTAGTTGCTCTTTCTCACTGAATTTAATCTGTAACTAAGTAGCTTAAGGCAACAATAGAGATGATCAGGCTTTCTCCGGGGACGGATGGAGAATGCCTAGTACCTATGTTTTGGCAACAGAATTCCTTTCCAGGACTGGTGACAAATCACGTGCTGCAGGGCTCAAAGGATAGTTAAGTAATAATAGGTAATATTTGTATAAAGTACAAAATATGTAGAAAGCATGTCTAGAGACCTTGAGTATGCTATTTTTTAAATACAAGAGAAAATTACAATAGGACTAATTAAATGTATGGGTGAGACTGCATAGGCAAAGATATCAGAGTCTCATCCTAATCCGGCTTGGAACCCTGAGGTACTGTAAACTTGTCTTTTCAAAGTCCCAGTTCTCTGTTACCCCACAGAGGTTGAGGAGAACCCAAGTGACTCAGTTACTTTGAAGCTGAGGCCAAGAATAACTATTTGATTATTTAAATAATTCTTTAGGCAAATTATATCAATATCTGTTATTTTCCATAATCTCTGCCTTTCCATTTATATTTTGAACCCATATTTACATCCAGAAAAATCGTGTTGAGAAAGAGGATTCAGAGTTAAATTATGTGGATTTTTTCTGGTATAGGGCTCCCCCCAGCTGGTGAATCTCTTCCTTTTTTTCTCCTCCAGTCTCTGCAATCCTTTTAACGCTGCCTTGAGATGATTTCACACCAGGCAGCTCTTCGGGGCTAACAGCCTGAAGCCTGAGAATCAGAGGAGACAGCAAAATTTAGCTTTTAAGCTTTTTTCGTTATCACTACCTCCCTCCTCAGCTCCCCATCAACAGCATTTTTGTGAAATGTAGTGTCTGAAAGTGTTAGTGTATGTATAGCTGGGCATCATTTGGCTACAGTAAAGCTAAAGTTTTAGACAAGACTTTGAACTTCTTCACTCTTTAAAGTTCAAATCGAGTTTGTGCCAATAGATTCTTTTTTTCTGTACTTATAATTAATGTCAATGGTACACAATGAGCAAAAATCCCCAACTCAGCAGTGTTCACAGATTTAGTAATCACTTTCTGTGGGTCTATCATGTGGGGGGGAGGGACTAAAGAGAAAGGAATTGATCAGTTTCCAAATACGCCCTCATTAAAGTATGCTGAACTTGAGTAAAATCATCAGTTCACTGCCATATCATCCAGGAAGTTGATTCTTCATGGTATGAGGAGAGGTGCATTTCAAAATCTCTTCTCAGATTTTTGATATCACTGCCTGCTCAGTTATCTCTATATACAGTGCCATTGGCAGTATCCAAGGATTTTCTGTTGCTAATTAATCACCTCCATGGAGAACATAATTAGCAGCTTAATTAGGATCATCATCCACTAGTGCTGTAGCATCAGCCTAAACCAGCTGTGAGATACTGGCTAGAACTTACAATAGCCTACAGTTCCTTTGGGAGCTCCCACTGAGAAGGAGGACTGTCAAAACTTCCTAATTTTTCTCTCTGAAGGAGTTTCTTGATTAAACATTATCAGGGAAAGCAGCATTTACCGATTAGACTTTCATAATGCTGTCATGCAGCCAGGATAGAGAGACAAAGCTCATTTCTGGCATGTCTACTGGCAAACAAAGGTTGATTACCACATTCTTATGGGGTGACTGAAGGGAATTTGAAACGTTGTTTGCATTCCTAATGAGCCTTAAAATAGTGGAATTGACATTCTGAGTATGACAAGCACTTCTTGCTAAAAGCAAAAATAAATTTCCTTCTGTTATCCTAATTTTTAAGAGTTGTCTTTCTGAGCCATTGCCATACTGTTGCATAACAGTGCTTCCTCCTCATCTTCTCTCCGCAGATTGGTCTGTTGTGGGGGGAAGCTCTTAGTACAGAAATAATTAGTGTTTATATCAGGAGGTGATACAAACCTCCTGATGTCCAGGCTTTCCTTCCTTCAGTGAGGGTATATATTTAGGGTGCAAGTTTGAAACAATAGTGGAAGATGCCGTTGCCTTTAAATGAGCATTCACATCTTCCTTCTGTCCTACAAATAGTTTTGACCCAAGTTATAAAAGATCGAAAAAAGCTATTGCAGAGCATGTGAAGACATAGCATATATACCTGTGGACTGCACTGTTCTTTTCAGAAAGCTCTCTCATATGACTGATGCAGAATAAGATCAGATGCTATGCTGAGAACAAGTACTGAAGGCGCATAGATGACTAGAGATAGAAGATATAAGCAACCAAGAGAATAGGGATGAAAACTGGAAACCACTTATACATGAATCATGAACCAAAAGACAAAAATCCAGGAATGAGATACCCAAGGAAATGAATTCAGCTCTTTTTTAAAGAACAATCTACTTTACAAGTCCAAAGCCCTGCTGGCTTTGCAATAGTACACAATTCCCAGAAGAAAACTAAATGAAGAATTTGATCATGGATTTTTTACGAAGGCCTAGCTAGGAAATAATTATTTTCAAATGCAGATTTACAGGAGAATGAGAGGTCTGTAACTCCACTACTGTGGGAAAAGGGTGCAGGTAGAGATAAATTGCCACTTCTTCCTTTTCACCCTGGATCTATGTACCCTTTTGTTGATTCCATTAACTAACATTTAAGCAACGCTTTGAAAATTTATTCTGAGATTTCAAGAGGAAATCAAACTACTAAAATGTAGTATAAAGCTGTAAAGAAACTTGTGTATCAGCCAGTAAAAATAGTAGGTAGATTTACATAATCCTTTGACTAAATTGTAAGACATATGGTCCCCTTAAGTTCCTTCGTAAAAACATTTCTGAGACAAGATGGACACATCTGTGCTGTAGCAGAGCTGAGATTGATTCATGTTAAAAGATATTTCTAAACCTAAGGCATATCCTTCTGAGCTGTCACAGAAAGCAAACCCACTGTTCCCAGTATGAATGTTTTGCTTAAGTATGTGAAGGAAAAGTGATTCAGAAAGTCTGTGCATTTGTGAACTGTGGACCACATCCTGCCCGTGTGGAAAGGTTACATGTTCCTATGTCCCAGATATAGGGAAGTCCTCTTAAGTACCTCTTTTTGGAAAGCTCAGGGAGGAACAAACATCCATGAAACATCCTTGGACAAGAGAGTCATCTGACACTGTATTGGGGAATATTAGTACTTCTACCAGGTATTTTTATTTAATGTTTTGGGAGAGTCATGTTAACATGCTTTGCAAAGATTCTTTATGCCTAACGTACAGGTGGTGAAACTCTAGCAAAAGAGAATTGAATGAGACTGCCCAGCTAATCAATGGCAAGACCAGGATTCAGTCTGGTATTTTGTAACTCCTACTGCAGACATCTCTGCTCAGGACCTTCCTTCTTTGTTATGAAAGAGATGAATCTAATCTCAGGTGTTCTCTGAGTTTAGGAACGTCTACATCCAGATTTTTAATTCAGTGTCCTCAAGAAAGAAGAGCTACCTGTCTATTTTCAAACAAGTTTGATTTTTCCTTAGTATAGTACATTTTATTATCTAGATTTTAGCTCAGGACTGTATGGATCTGTTTTAAAGATAGCTGCCTATATTATATATTATGCAACAATAAGTACAGCACACTTTGACTAACAAGCTTCTGCCTGTGTCTGAGCACTACAGGATTTTACACAGGATATTGCTAATTTATACATTGAATGGAAGGGTAAAGTTGGCTATTTTTCATTCAGCAGGGTCATTAGTTCTCCCAGGAGAGGTGGAACAGACAGTGAATGACCGTACACCCTTTTTTGATAAGCCTATTCAACTGAAGTTCAGAACCTTGTCAGTTCCACAGCCATCGGACAGCAAAGCCCAAGAGGTATGAGGTCAGATTTATTTATTTAAACATTGGGGGTTTGGGGTGTTTTTTTCAACGTATTGGCTTCTAACGTTATTTCCACAAGAACAGAGGGATATAGATGGAGTGTATGGAACTGCTATGAGTTAAAAAATCACATTATTAATTTTTAAATTATTAATGAATTCTTAAATACATTAAGAATTGAGATAAACACTCTAATAGAAAGGTACCATTTTATCTTGCACACGGCTTCTATATAATCCTACATTTTCAAAATGTGTACATCAATACTTCAAACTGTATGTGGGCTTTTTAATATTTAATTGGTATAACTCACAGAATATTCAAGTAAACTCTTGCATTTCCTGAACTTTTAACAAATCATTACCTATGTAGAATGATGGGCCATTTAATTTTCCAGTGATCTCATCATCTTACAACATCCCGCAGTTCTCATTGGGCTGAATACAGGAACCATCTGCTGCAACAAGGAGGTCATTAAAGATCCCTTTAATGTGACATTTAAAAGAAAAAAAGGTTTTAGAATATATTGTGATCAGAATTGGGATTTGTCCTCTTGGAAATGAGTAGTAGCAAAATGCTGCTGAGGATCTGCATTGTGTAGGTCTGGTGTGGAGAGGTTTGCATTATGGAGTCTGAGTCTTCTAATCAGACACAATCAATACAAGCTTTAATTTAGAATTGCCATTTTCCCTCAGAATTTCAGTTCTTTTCAAACTGGAACAGAAGGTGTGGATTGCTCACAGGCTTATTTTAAGTCATTAAGCTTCCTATCCAAATAGTCAGTGTGAGCATTAACTTTTGGGGATGTTTCTATTGCAGAGAATTCTTCACCACTCTTTTCCCTTGCCTGATCATTGTAATAGAAGCTGAGGTTAGCTTCCAGCTAAAATGGGCCAGTTTTGATAGTTTCATATGCTTATTGATGTCCCATGAGGCTTAAATCAAGTTTATAAATGAAGCGTGACCAGTGAAGGATTGATGTTATAGCAGTGCATATGGTGCCTCCTTTCCTGAGCTCAATTGTGTTTAGTTCTTTGCAATAAACTGTTTACTATAAGGAACAAGTCTGCTCTGGGAAAAAGTAAATGTTCTAAAATGACCTTTCAAGCTTTAATTCCCACCATTCTGTGAATAAAAATACTCACTCTTTTCCCTAAGGATTGACATAATTCAAGGTTTTTGCCTTGAGAAATATCCACTGGCACACACAAAAAAAACCCCTAGAATGGGATTTCATAGTTTTCTCATTTGATAACTTCTGTTTAAAACCAAGGAAGAAGGAGGGTTGTAGCAGCCTGCAGTGTTCATAAAGGATTGCATATGACTCTTTAAACTATAACTCATGAAAAATAGATGAAGATCCCACTGCATGGAAAATTCATTTCCATTTGAGGACAAGTTGGATTGTGAAAGAGAAACTGAGTATTATGGTTAAGGGTTGCTGCATTTTTCAGGAAGAAGGGCTTATGATTTTCACAACTGTTTCGTTGATGCTGGGTTACTCAAGATGAAGACAGTCTTTCCCCTAAATTATACACATATTTGTGCCTTTATTTAGATAATATAACTGTGGCCTGATTTTTAGAACTGCCAAGACTGAATAGGTCCATTTTAAAATCCCTCAGTGCTTCAAATTGCCATTGCCTTGAAAATTAAGTCTTTCATTGCTTATGGCAGGACTTGTTTAGAAAGAGAAAAAGATTTTCCCTGGAATAGAATCATAGAATCATTTAGGTTGGAAAAGACCCTTAACATCATCAAGTCGAACCGTAAACTTACCACTGCCAAGTCCAGCACTAAACCATGTCCCTAAGTGCCACATCTACACGTCTTTTAAATAACCTCCAGGGATGGTGACTCAGCCACTTCCCTGGGCAGCATTTTCCAATGTTTGATAACCCTTTCAGTGAAGAAATTTTTCCTAATAAATTGGAAAATTAGATTGGATAAATCTAAACCTCCCCTGGAGCAACCTGAGGCCATTTCCTCTCATCCTATCACTTGTTACTTGGGAAAAAAGAGACTAACACCCACCTCGCTGCAACCTCCTTTCAGGTCTCCCCTCAGCCTCCTTTTCTCCAGACTAAACAACCCCAGTTCCCTCAGCCGCTCCTCACAGGACTTGTTCTCTAGACCCTTCACCAGCTTCGTTGCTCTTCTTTGGACACGCTCCAGCACCTCAATGTCTTTCTTGTAGCGAGGGGCCCAAAACTGAACACAGTATTCTGGCCACACGATTTCTGATACAAGCCAAGATGCCATTGGCCTTCTTGGCCACCTGGGCACACTGCCGGCTCATGTCCAGCCGGCTGTCGACAAACACCCCCAGGTCCTTTTCCGCTGAGCAGCTTTCCAGCCACTCTTCCCCAAGCCTGTAGCGTTGCATGGGGTTGTTGTGGCCAAAGTGCAGGACCCGGCACTTGGCCTTGTTGAATCTCATACAGTTGGCCTCGGCCCATTGATCCAGCCTGTCCAGGTCCCTCTGTAGAACCTTTCTACCCTCAAGCAGATCAACAGTCCTGCTCAATTTGGTGTCGTCTGCAAACTTACTGAAGGTGCACTCGATCCCCTCCTCCAGATCATTGATAAAGATATTAAATAGAACTGGCCCCAATACTGAGCCTTGGGGAACACCACTTGTGACCGGCCGCCAACTAGATTTAACTCCATTCATCACAACTCTTTGGGCCCGGCCATCCAGCTAGTTTTTTATGCAGTGAAGAGTATGCCCGTCCCTGCCATGAGCAGCCAGCTTCTCTAGGAGAATGCTGTGGGAAACAGTGTCAAAGGCTTTACTGAAGTCCAGGTAAGCAACATCCACAGCCTTCCCCTCATCCACTAAGCAGGTCACCTTGTCATAGAAGGAGATCAGGTTAGTCAAGCAGGACCTGCCTTTCATAAACCTGTGCTGACTGGGCCTGATCACCTGATTGTCCTGTACGTGCCGTGTGATGGCACTCAAGGTGATCTTCTCCATAACCTTCCCTGGCACCGAGGTCAGAGTGTCAGGCCTGTAGTTCCCCGGATCCTCCTTCTGGTCCTTCTTGTAGATGGGTGTCACATTTACTAACCTCCAGTCAACGGGGACCTCCCCGGTTAGCCAGGGCTGCTGATAAAGGATGTCCATCAAAACAAATCTGTTAGGGAAGGGCAACAGAATGTGGCTGCCTGGTTGGTTTTCATAGAGAATGGAAAACCATTCCTATGAAAAATAAACAAGCTTAATAGTGCAATGTAGGATGTCAAATGTCTATGCTATGGACATATTTGTGAAGGACTTTAGGGGAAGGTGTATGTTTCTGTACGTATTGCTAGGGAAAGTTTAAAAAAAGAAGCTCTGCTAAGATCCAACGTATAACTTGACTAATTGTTAAAGAACAACTTACCTGAAAATGTTTTCCTGTCAAAAGCTGTTGGGAAGAGGCTTAGTGAATGACACAGCAAATTATTTGTGGTGTCCACCAATGTTGCTTCATCTTTCTTCCCGGGTTTTAGATATTCCTGGATTTCAGTATCGACAGTGCAGCGTACATGACCTCCCACAGGCCACTGCAAATTGCAACAGCATTCACTCCATGGTTGAAGTACATTATCACAGAACATTTACCTTCCCTACCCAGATAGTTATTCTCTCCTTTATTTCTGCTTAATACTTTCTTTCATAAAAGACTTCATAGTTTTTTTAAGTAACAGTATGTCTTAACATCTGCTTCCTAGGGTCTTTATTTGTCCTTATTTCCCCCTCTGCATACATACGAGTGCAGCTGAATGCATATTTTCCGTCCACTCACTATAAACATGCATTCAAAGTGGGGTTCATCTCACCTAACTTCAGCTTTAAATTTAGTCTAATTTAGTCCTTCTGTCATCAAGAAGGAGAGATAAGCACCTCCAGGAAGTAATTCTTCCCACTTGCTGTAGGCATTTGTCCTAAGATGTAATATATCTCTGTCCACAGGCTGACTCTCTGGGTCTTTTTTGGTTAATTGACTACTTTAATCTAGAAGCCTAATTTTTATATGGCTGGGATTAGGAAAGATGAATTCTACCCTTCTATTCTCCATTGTTTGTCTTTAGTTTGAGCATTCAGAAAAGTATTTACCATGCCTATCATTTTATCTTTATCTGTGGAATGGCAGCATCTATAACCGAAAACACAGCTTCCATTGAGTTCCTTTAGTTTAAGGTTTTACTGATAGCCCTCAACTGAGGTTTGTTTCTGCTAAGTGCTATGCATAAATGCAACAAGAACAAGGAAGAACTTAAAGACAGGATTGACTAAGTGAAAGAAGATGGAAGAGTTACATCTTCTCAGAGGCCAGTAAAGACACAGAGATTGAGTGACTTGTCCAGAATGATGAAGCAGAAGTGGAAAATTGGTCAAGATTTATTGACTGCCAATCCAGTGCCCCAAGCTCAAGACAAACTGTTTTTTTGTCCCAAGTACCCCAGTATATATTAAGCTTATATGAGATAATAGCGTACATGCCTCCCCCCTGCTTTTTATTTCTTGTTACTGAACTAGTAAGTTTTCCCTTGAGTATACAATGAAATCATTGCTGAGTGTATGTGCATCCTTTACATAATTTGAACAAGTGAATCATAGAGTGCCATAATTACACAGAAATAAAGGTTTTAAGAAGGACAGAGACAAGCTGTTCAGTTAACTGTAACTCCACACAGATTAATGAAAAAAACTGAGTTGCCAATTATTAATAGACTTTTGAAAGTCTCAACTTTAAGGTATTTTATTTACAACATTATTTTGTAAAACAGCCTCTAGCAAAATACTTCTGTTATTAATATAAACATTACATTCTTTTCCTCTTTAATTTGGACATGCAGGAACTGTAAATGAAAATGATTTTTTCTTCAGAGAGTAAATCATGGACACAATCTTAAGCAAACTGGCAGTTTTCTAATAGAGCAAAATTCTATTCCCAGAGAGCTCTCAAAAAGATGTCAATTAGATGTTAAATTAGACACCTGAAGTTCACATATTTCTCTCAGCTCCTGAGGCAAAAATAACAAGATAATAACTTGATCAGCTCAGAGGATTCAGTGTTCTATTGCAAAACGTCTTCCTTTTGAAATAGATCAAAATTGCAGTTTCCAGTATAAAAATTTTAGATTGCTTGTCTGCATGGAAAGTTGAAGTGAATGGCTTCTTGGGAGAAGAAGCAAAAAAAGAATCCTTTGAGTACTTGTCTGAGAGATGAAGCACGCTGATAAATATGCAATGTGAATAAACTTTTCAAATGTGCAATGAGTGGGTAACAGGAAAATTGTTAACAGTGAAGTTGGGTATGTTCTGCTTTGGCATCTAATTTCAGTTAGCATTTTGAAGTCAAGTTTTTTAAACAAAAGTTTTTCCAGTATTTCTCTGCACATGCATAAAATGTTCCTGGAATGAAATGAAGGAACAACACAAGGTCATAGTGAATGTGTGTATACTTTCCATAACTATGTTGGCAGAGGAAGAATCGATTTTTTTTAATAGAATCCCTATGAAGGTTTACTGTAATTTAAACTCTTCTTAGCTTAGTTACCTATAGAGTTGTTACAACCAAACTAACTGAAAAATATTTGCACCTTGCATCATATTGTAGAAGAGTGTTTTGTATTTCTGCAAAGGAAAGACAAGTAGTAATAAACCCCAGTTGCTGGTACCCTTAATGGCATGGAATTTTAGGAGGCTTTGCCTGTGGAAAAGATGAAACTGGATATGAATATGGTGAGGAGGTCAAGGAGTTGACCTTAGCCTTCATGGGAAACAGAGCTTGTGTGCAGGCTTTGTCTCATGTAAACATTTCTTGAATGTGCTATTTATACAAGTTAATAATGGTTTACCTGGGATAGTCTATGGACATAAGCAAGACAATCTTTGCATGCAGAATGAATACCGTTTTCTAGACCAACTCTATCTACAGAGTTTCTTTTTCTCATTTATAAATGCCCATGATCTACAGGTCTGCATCTAGGATGACTTATATGCTCTAGCATCTATTGAAGCCAATGTAAGCTAGGTCACTAGAACGTTAAGCAATACAGATGATTAATAAAATTATACAAAACCAGAAAAAATATTTCCTGATCAATCAAGCAATATTACAGTTTATTATTAATAAAGGATGTAGATACTCGAGAGATACTTGCTGCCATATCTGTCAGGTGCCTGGCCATCGGAGAGGAATCCAGCTACCACTTCTCCGACTTATTAGATGGCATTAACTGTGTCAATACAACTTCTTACAAAATGTTACCAGAAATTGTGTGGGATACTGTGCCTTCTAAACTGAGCAGTGACCATAAGATGCTGAGCGTTCTTCCTCCCTTTCAGCAAAACAAATAAGTGTATTCTTAACTTCAGATACGTCAGTAGTCATTGGCTTAATTGAGGATTCATCAGAAGTTTGAAAAAATCAGCATGTGTTTAAATGTTTTCCTGGTTTGGTACTGAAGTACTTAAATCTTTGATACACAGAGCCCTTGAGGAGTTGTGCTGTTTGTCATGATTGAAATTGCTAGACGTTTTATATTAACTTCTCAAAGGATAGGGAGAATTTCTGTAGTTTGGGCAGTGAAGATGTGTCTCCTGTGTAGCTCTGGAATTAATTTTATGTAACTGCTTACCATAAAACTTTTGTGTCATGGCCCCCTGCAGTTCCTTATCAGCATGCAGCCTGCCATAGTTATTTGTTTTCATTATTTTATTTTATAGGCAGAGCGTTTATTCTGAGATATTTCAACAAGAAGCAATACAGAAATGCTATACACTATATCAACAAAGCAAATATTGGCAAATGCAGTAAGACTCTCTGTTTGTCATGCAAGAAATCCAAACCAGCCAATTGCATATCTCTGAGATGGTAAAAAGAAATTATTAGAGTCTGAAAATTGATTATGTGTCATTTTGCTCATTCCAGGCATTTCCTGTGCTGGAACTATGTGCTGGGAAGCATGTTGCATTAGTATCAGATGCATGTACACTGAAGCTTTATGTGATACTAGCCCAAATTTTAAGGATATGGAATCTGTCTTTGAAATTTAACATAGCTGTACATAACTTGTCCATATCCCCACAGCCCTGCAGCTACAAGTGGCAGGAATGTAATAGATGTGTGCAAGGGAGGTTTTTAGATTCCTTGCCTTGAGCAAAATTAGCTAATGATACTCATTCAGATACAGTACAGTACAAATGGGGCACATTAAATGGCTTAAATTAGGTCAAATTGAATAATTGAATTTATTCTTTTACTTAAAAAGAGCTTAATCAGCTGAGAGTGCTAGAGTCAGAAAAAATAGTTTAATTAAATATTAATTAGAAGTTTATATTTTGAGCTTCCTTATCATCACTTGCAGCAGTATTATTTATGTATCTGTTTTTCCTCATTACAGCTACTAGGGGATGATGTTCAACCATTCTCACTTGATGAAGAATTTGATTATGACAATGTGGCACTCACCCCTAAGTTCTCTGAAGCTGAGCTGAAGGCCATTATAGAATTGTCTGAAGAGAAGAAAATGGGGACAGATGTCAAGTCAGCATGAGCTGAAGACTGAGTCAAAGGCATTCTGTGCAGTGCTGTTGAAATAACATTTTTAGGGGGTAAATCTAGCTCTTCATTGTACCCTTATTTAGTGTTTTTATCTATGTAGCCAGTAAATGACATCCTTGAGATTTTTTTGTTTGTTCTACCAAGGTGCCTTGGAGCCTGAGGTTGCCTTTCCCAGTACCTCCTCCTAGTCCTAATGAAAACACAGAATAGGAAGATGGTGCTTGCCCAGAGTTACTTTTATAGTAGCCCTTCAGCCAGAGAGGAACTATTTCCATCTTTTTTATATGTCTGTACAGTGATTTGCTTAGGCATTCAGGTTGGCTAAGGAGGTCTGTGTTTGTCCCTAAACCCAACAGGATTTTTGTATAGATCAGTGACCTTTAATATTTTTAAGCCCCAGTGCTCAGCTACTTTGTTGTTTTCCAGGTGGTACAAGGCAGTTGGAAGGATGTCTCAAATGACAGCCCTAAATTCCCTTTTGTAGAAAAATCCTTGAGCGGCGTGAATCCTGTATTGGCTCAGGCCAGGTGTGCTGGAGTTTTTGCTCCATAGGACCAAAACAAGCTGGTGGAATTCAGAATAGCACTATGGCTACTCTGGCTTATATTTGGTACTGACTCAGCTCCTGATTAGCGCAAAGCTAGTCCTAAAGCTGCCTTTTACCTCATTCTTTCAGTAATACAAATAAGAGCTTTTTGCAGCTGACAAATCAGTGTATAAACTCTTTGCCTGTCATTATAAGACTTAAATATACAGTTATATGAGTGAAGAAATCTGGGAACATTGGGTTTTTTTCTCTGTCTTTTGGGTTACTTCAGTTTTGCAGAAAAATAAATATTCCTGTTTCCAGTAAACTTTTTGAGTGGATCAAAATTGACATGGCGCAACTCCTAACAATTAAAACATGAACTGCTACAAAAAGCCTTCTGCACAGAGGAAAAAACAGTGATCTCATCCATTAAACAAATTGGCATTGAAAGGCTGTCCGATTTTACATTTTTTTACAGGAGATGATTCCAAATACCAGCTTATGGCTTACACTCAGCATCACTGAAATGCAGCAAACTCTGGAGTTGAGTAAAAGTCAGGTAGTATGGGTGGGAGAGAAGAGTGTGCATCTCTGACACAAGGTAGTATGTACTCTCGCAATGAGGTGTTTAGAATGCATTTTTTTTCAGCTTACTGTAGAAGCTTTGCTGTTGAGGCTTGGTTTAACATCACAACACTGAATTGTATTATTGGTCTTTTTCTGGTATAAGTGCATTAGCTAAAGTTTATGGACCAACATTTTGTCCTTGGTCTATCTCCATTATTTCTGAAGTGGGTGATTAACATGATGAATATGGGAAGAGTGCCTGAGCGGACAGACTAGAGACAAAACCACAAGTTGTTTAAAGGTTCTGGATGAAATCCCTGTGGCTGGTTGGCTGCTCCATTGTCAGCAATTTATAAAAGCAAAGAAAGGTGCTTTGCTGCTTCAAAGGAAATTTTCTGGATCAGTGGTTTTGTAGACCATAATCACACACCGCTGAAATCTGAATAGCATTTGTTTTGAGGAATGGTATTTACCTTGATTAGGGGGATATAATTTAAGAGTGAGATTAACAAAAAACAGAAAAGAAAGTGGTCTCAGACAAGACGTTTAAGGAGAGTGATATAAAACTACAAGTACGTTGTATAGAAAAACTGGTCTGTATAGGACCTTGCTGGTAGAAGGTAATGAGAAATTTATTTTTAACATCTACAATCAAAAGCATGCCGGTGCTGTAGTTAAAACAGTTTTTGATGCAATAGGCTGTATAGCAGATTCTGCTGTTTTTTGGGAAACATCGGAGTTTTGTTTTTTTTCTTTTTAAATGTGAATTAATTTGAATTCAATGAGTGTTTTGTTGAACCCAAGATATTTTGAATTAAGTGCTTCAGATCCAACTGGAATTTTCCAGTGAAACATTCAGCTAAAAATTCCTGAGCAGATCTATTTATTAATTCATCTTCTGAAAGACACAGATAATGTGTATAAATGGGAGGGATAAGAAGTAAGTTCTGGAGGAGCTCCATGAGCAAATCTGGGAGGAAGAAGTTGAGAACTGCTGTACAAAGATAGCAAGGTCAGCCTTTAAAAGCCTCAACAGAAAAATAAGGGAGACAACCTCATTAACATATGTATGTATAGCAAAGATAAAGTAAGGAACCTTCAATCTAAGAGACCTCTGTGTACAGAGTTTGCTATCCTGCAGACAAAGAGTCAACCATAAATAAAGGTGGACTTTTGTGGGTTTGTGGAATGATGAATTCGGCACTTTTTTAATGTGTTTTTTTAGAAAGGTATGAGACACACAAACTATAGATCAGTCCTGTTGGAGTCCAATTGCCAGTAGAGTCAATGAGAAAACTTGTCCAGGGATTCATAATGATCTTCAGGCGAAAACAGCTCTGGAATATCTACATGCATTTTCTATTCATTTCATTATCAATTTTTCCCTGTACATTAGGGATACATCCAGCCATGCAGTTCCTTCTCTCATAGGCAGATGATTCTCTTACCAAATGTTCAGAGTACCTATTATGCTCCATTAGTGTCATTCAGTATAGTCATTATATGGTTCCGTTTGATATAAAGAAACACTTTGCTGCAGAATACCCAACAAAATTGGAACTCTTTAGTGACATCCATCTTACGCAGAGAAATGGGGATAATTCACTTACATTTACACCACTCATGAGTTGGATTTTTGCTCTTTGTTAACAAAGATGAATATCACAGTGGAGATTAGGCAATGTAGGCTACATTTTCTGCCTGCCCCTGTGGTTGTTTTTGGCTTGTACCTTTGATTTGATTATCCTTCACAGAGGAGGCATATTTTCCTCTTCTCCATTACCAGGTTGCCATTTTTAAGAACATACTTTATGTGCATGTTAAATTTTATACACGTACATGGAGTTAGTTACCTGGAACTGTTTCAGTGTTTGCGAGGTGGTTTGGAGTCTGAGTAATATATGTCTTTTCCTCTTGTAGCTTGCTTTCTCTTTAATATTTAATATTTTCTGCAAGGGTTGGTGAGGAACATTCTCCTTTTCTATTGATAGTCTTTTCTAAACATTTTTCCTGTTTTCCAAAAGAATTAAAGGCAAAACTCATGCATGGAACAGGAAACTTTGAGTGCTACTTGGAATCGACTTGGGGGCTGCTGCAGTAGGGAATAGGATTTTCTCCCTACCACACTGACAAGGATTTTGAACTGCAAAATCTCTGATGTTGGGTGAACCCGTTGGAAGTGAAGGCTGTGTGATGCATCTCTCTAATCCCTTTGTATTCATGATTTCATTGATGTCTGCAGTGCAATAGAGATATGCATCCATATCAGTCAGTGAGCTTATCTGCATTAAACTTGTTGCTTACTTGGGTGTTACCAGAAGGATACTGACTGTTTCTTTCCACAGTCTTCATGGATCCTGAGTTATGGGGAGGAACTCCTTGAGTTTTATGGGAAGTGTAGTAGTCCTTCCACTGGGGCAGGAATCTGAAAGGTTGTTTCCTTGGCTGGCTGTGGTGCAAGCTCAGATATTATTACTGCTCAGAGTTACTCCTTGTGGGTATAAAAGGAAGAGTAATTATTTGCTGAGATAATGGTTGTGAAAGAATAAGATAAAAATTGAAGAAATGAAAAGAGATGCAGGCAAATCTGTCTGACTCAGACATTATTATAGTTCTAAATATACTTCTATTAATGCACAAAGGTATCATTATATACACTTGTATACACACAGTGCCACTGAAATAAAATAATTTTAGTGTGGAGAGTACTCACCAGATAATTCAGAACCTTTTGAAGAAGATGGCATGGAAACAAATCCCTGCTCTTATGGAAAAGACCCTTTGATCCTCTGGCCTTGATTTTCTGCTGCTATAAACTGGCAGAACTCCACTGAGGCCATTTATATTCATACAGAGCAGACAGGACTCTGATATTTACAGTCTTAGCTGAAAGAATACGGAGCCAAATCAATTCCTATTTTAAATTTACTGAATATAAAGCTATGCATATGACCCATTATCATTATGGGAAAATATTTAAATGCAGAGCCAATGCAAATGAAATGTAAAAAACATATCTTTAACTGTTCAGTTACTAATTTTACACAGGTCATTATGGAGTTTCTGTACTGGTGCGTGCTTAGAACATTGCTTTTTGCTTTAACAAAAATGTCACATACATTTTCAAGTCCTGTTCAAATCATGAAACTTGATTACATACATAACTACTAAAGATTCCCACCTCCTTTAAAGTTTTTTTTTTTTCCCCTCTGCATCTTGGCAAGGATTGGAAATGGACTTTGCTTTATCTTGGAATTGTTTTAAAAAGATCTGACATCCTTTGTAAAAACATATACTTTCTTATAAAGGTGGACTCTCTCAGTGATGCAACACTAAATGCAGGAATAGAAATAGGACCAAATTCCTAGTTACTCAGCAACTTCATGTATGTCATGGTGTGGCTAAACAGCCACTTGGTGTCAAAGTGTCTGCTTGGATAGCAGGCTGATTTGTATCCTGTTGTCATCTTCCTTCAGTTTTATTCAGGAGTCTGAGTGGTAGCTTGGTCCTATCTAGGTACGAATTCTTACAGCCCTGCAAAGAGTCTGCAAGACAATTCAGATACACTGACCAAAGAAGCTGAACCAGCAGTCTTGTACTGGGGCTCCATGCACACTCCAACCTGCTGAATAATTTAGCTGAGTGTGGCTATTCACCTCTGTTCAGCAGAGATTTGTGTTACAACCATCGAGAATGTGATACTCCTGAAGACGTGCAATGGAAAAGTGATGATTGACAAGGGTCAGGGCAGAGATTCATTAGACCCTGTTCACTTACTGGGGCTGTGTTGAACAGGCGGCGTACTACCCTCCTTCACAGGCTGCAGTTCAGCCTTGGCGTGTTCAAGCCACCCAGTAAAGTGAGGAAACCTGTGATAAGGGTTCTTGCTGGCCTTAGGAGGTGAGCTCCCTGCACCGCAGAGCCGAGCGCTTGTGATAGTGAAGGGCATTCCCACTGCGGTGTGCTTTCTTGTGGCGAGGTGTCAGTTAGCACAGGTGGGTGTGAGGTGCCACATGTGTCCTGGGCTCCTCTTGGAGGGATGCATCCTCTCACTGAAAGGCAGCTGCTTTGCTGGTCTTGGGCACGTGCAGTTCTCCCAGCTGCTAAATGTCTGCCCGTCCCTTGGGAAAACAGGACAGACAGTTTTCTCTGAAATGGTATTAAGTTGTAGAACATCTTAAAAGATGATGAATTTGGTAAATTTGTGATTGCTGGCTGTTGGAGGTGACACCTTGTGTTTTGCTGGTGAGGTACTGTAAGCCAACGTTGCAGGTGTATGAGCTGTGAAATGCCACAAGAGTTAGACTGGAGATAGTTTTAGTGCTTGTTTATGACAAGTTTGCAAGAAGAAAAGCAAGTGTTAAAAGGTACTGTCATTTTTATAGACAGGCTACTTTATTTGCAATTGCAGTGCCCCACAGTTAAAATGGAAATCAATTTTAATGCCTTATGAAAATGCGGAAATATTTGTCTCATTTACATACATTTACATTTACTTCCAAAAAGGACAGATAATAAAATTCCCCTGATTAACAATCTATAATTTTACGTGCTCTGTGGTGTCTTGTTCAGTACATCTATCCGCATAAATGTTTCAAAATAATAAGCAAAGATAGATCTGAACAAAATTCCTAAATCTAACTTCACACTGAATTTCAGGTTGTAGAAACTCTCTGTATATATTCAAAGCCCTCTTTGATCTGAATAGTCCCAAACTTTGGGGAAGTAGATATGCTACTTTAAAAATATCTAACCAAACATTTCTCAAGCAACCACTTAGTACCCATCTGGACTACAAAAAACAAAGCAGTCAGGGACCTGCCTATATAAAAAGAACCTATGGAACGTAACAGTTGGAATAACTGCACTCTATAGGAAGATAATGGTATTCTATAAAGGACTCTAAAGATAGTAGAATTAAATGGAAAATGATATTTTTCTAGAGGTGAACCATACTAAAATATTCTGTTGACTTGATAAAATTCTTGAGAACCTTTGAATGCCCAACTGAGAAATTAGTGTAATCATTTTGTAATTCATTTGGATTTACAACACAGTTATCTCTTGAGTCATTAAAATGAGATTAAAAATTGTGTGGGATTCTTCAGTGTGTTTTATGGCAGTGCTAACACCATAAATTAAGGCTTTAGCCTCATTCTATCATATGTTACAACAGAGTTTGTTCTTTTGTGGCTGTTGTGATTGAGGACTCTGGTGGCAGTGTTTCTGGAGTGCAGGTGTGTACTTGTAGCAAGTAAGCCTTAAGTTTAATAAGTTTTCTTGAATCCATCTGCTTTTCTGTCCATATGTATAAAACCTTATAATATGCAATGATATGCATAAGTCTTAGAAAGAGGCAAGTGTCATTTATTATGTTGCTTATGCTCCTCAGAATAACTTGGCTAGAGGACAAATTCTACCGATTACTTGGAAGTGTTGACTCTGTGATTTAGATTTGCTGCAGATTGCACATTTGTTCTTTGAGAGAGAAATGTTGAAATGCATTTTTTCATCCTCTTTTCCATATTTTTGTTTTTGTCTTTCTTACGTCAGATTTGCCACTAGCTTTCCTAAACTTGACAAGACACTACGTTAATCTGATGAGCTACTTTCCTGCTGGATAAAATTTTAAAGTAAAAAAGATGGAAGGCTGGTGTCTGGGCCAGGAAACATCACAGCACCGTTTGCATTTCATGCACCAGCTTAGCATTTGCAAAACTTTCAAAAACAAACAATCAGGAAAATACAAATAATGGTCAGCCTGCTTACTGAATGAAAATTTAATTCCAAATTGCCTTTGTTTAAGTCAGTTGCTTACACTTCGGCTCCTCTGCCCACCAAGGATTTTGTTACCTAACATATTTCAAAATCCAGACTGTCAAAAATACTGACAGCTCGCACTAGCTGAATAGCATTTCCCGCAACAAAATTGTGATCCATTTAAGGCTCTTTGTTTTGGGTTGTGAAACACTTCTTAATTTCCACAGATTTATTTGCCATTCATGAACATTAATAAAGTAAACTGTACAAAAAATAATGGCAAAGGAAGAAGGGAGCTAGTGGGAAGAAAGGTTGGCTGAGCAGCCAAATATTGTCTGTGCTCTGAATGTGATGTTTGATGTCAAACATCACATTTGATGTTTTGATTCTTTTGCAATATTTGTACGAGAATCTTGGTTGTCAAAAGAGCTGGCTGAATAACACCCCTCCCCACCCCCAAACATACGTGTATGAATGTGCTGGCAAACAAGCTATCCAAATTTAATTGGCTGCTGTTCCAAGGGTAACATTATTCATTACGGGGTGTGTTTTACAAGGTGCTTGCAACTGAGAGCATTTACTAATTGACAGGATTAGGCTCTGATCACAAATGTTCAAATGTGTGTTTATCTGGTATTGCTTGTAATCCTATACGTCCCAAAATTTCATTTTTGAAACGTATATTCTTTTGACACTTTTCACTCGCCCCCCCAGAACCAACAGATCAAAGATCCTTCAAAGATGATACTAAAAAAACACAACTTGGAGTTACGAGTTCTGAACAGAAGTGATGAAGTTACAAATGAAATAAAATTAAGTAATGTTAAATTTAGGAAAAACAACTTGCTGAAATTCAGATATACTAGACTCTGCAAGTACCACAAGGGAGGTTGGTGGAGCTTATTTGCTGAGGTCAATTAAAAGAAATCTGAAAAAAATATTGGAACAAAATACTGCGTCAGCCAGGAGTTGGATTTGATTAATATTTTCCCTCTAAGACTAAGGTACGTAAGAATGAATGGTTGAAGTCTGAAGAATTTTCCTTTTAACAGTTAAGATTGTTATCGTCTTGGGATTCCAATTCTGATAATGGAAAAAAGGATGGTTCAGTTTAGTGATGCAAGTTCAGTCTGACTGTTTACGTTCCAGAGCATCTCTACAAACTCTTGGTTTGTACACACGGTGGCAACCCATATATTAAGCATCACTGCCAACATTTGCAAAAATGAGAAATGATATATTATTTAAATATTCTGCTTTTCTGAACAGTCTAGTTGCATTACAGTTGCACAGTAAGATAGGAGAGATGGCTTTTTTTTCTGCTCTTAAAAAAGCAGCTTAATTTAGAGGTGAGAATTTTGAAGTGGAATTTTGGATCCCACATTAGGGCTTTGAGAAAACCTGTGGCTCGTGACTTCATGGCTCAGCCTTGATCTCTTTGCCTAAGTAAATGACGTCACATTTGATCTTACTTTGGAATATGTGAAGTTAATTTTTTTCCAGAATCCAAAACCACTGTCAAATTTATATTTGCAGGGCATGCTTCTTTTACTGTTTTTCCTCCTTGCCTTTATTGGTCTTAACTGCCATGCTATACAGCAATCAATATAATATGATGTAATATACAGAGAACATGGTATGGCATTGCTACATTTTTCAACAGGAAAAGGGAACCTTCTCCTTACCGAGAGCTGAAGAGACCCTTTGGTTGGTTACCTGTCAATTTGAATAGATGTATATTGAGTTAGGCCCGTATTCTTATGAAGCATTTGTATTACCCAAATCAGGGAGGTGCTGCCGGTTGAAATAATTCAGAACAAAACTCAGTTCAATCAACTTCAAAATAGTCTGTCACTATAAATTCCTCTTGATACTCCCATCCCACTGTAGCTCTATCAGAATCAACGTAGCAAACACACGGACTCTCACTGCCGTCTCTTGTAGTTGGGCTCTTGTATAATGCTGCCAATTCTGTGGGACACTTCCAGGGAGCTGCAGCTTACCAAGAGGCTCCCCAGAGGAGAATGTAATTTTTATTTATTTTCCATTCCAAAGCACGCCTCCATGTAACCCTGCCTCACCCTGTCGTCCCCAAAGGAATGACATGGGGATAATACCAACGCCTAGACTGATTACCACTTGT